TCTCCATTCTGTTGATCTTATTTTCCATCCAAATTCTGAACTTGATTTCTCACATCTCAACCATTTGTTTTGAAGGATCATTTGGTGTGTGCGTTTTGTCATTCCTTTGCGGAGTTGATCTACTCTGATTATTCATGTTGCAAGAGTTTGTCCACTGATTCCACTCCATGATTATTTTTCACCATTTGGCTAAATGGTTAGGTAAGGTGCAATTGGATTTGGGGCTCCTGGACTTGTGGTTAACCAGCCCTTTGCCAAGGATCTGGGACTGGTGACTGTTGCTTTTCCTTTACAGCTTTGCAAAGGACCCATATAGTATTACAGTTTGAGGCTCTGGGGACCTGCTTGGTGTGGTGGGGTCAGGTGGCTTTCTCTTGTATTCAGTTGGTCTTTGTTCAGTCCTAGTGGATCAGTGACTCTGGGTTGACGTCTCAGCTGTGGAGATATACAAGCAACTAAGACACTCCGCCCCTATGGGCAAAAACTAGAAGAGAAAAATCAACCCTTTATGTTACCACAGAACCAAGGTACCACCTGAGAGGGTCTTTGGGTGATTGACCCAGGTTACGAGTTGCAAACCAATTGACCCACTCAGTACCAACTCCCATGTGAGAGAGTTCGAAAGGTCTCCAGCAAGTAGATAGCAAAGGACTACTGGCTGCTCAAATGTGGCCTGCTCTAGTGCTTTGTGGAGTCAGAAAGGCCCACCCAGTAGCAGAGTTGGGCCAGAGGGCTGGTGTCTCTTTCCCTACTTTGTACCTCTTTCACACCTAGTCACTGGTAATGCCATGGGGCTGTGGTACTGCTCCCTCCAATAAGCAAATATGCCAGGGCTTTGCGCCTGCCAGAGTCAAAGGAAAGTCAATACTCCCTCAATCTGGCTACCACCCTCTGCCACCAGCCGGCTGGGGAAGCTGAGGCCTGCCTGCCTTGGGTACTCAATGGTAACTGGGGAATGTTCCACCCGAGCTCAGTCCGAACCTGAGGATATCAAGTCAGCAAATGATTTTCTCCTTTAGCCACTGAGCCTTTGCCCCAGCCACTCTGCAGCACTGGTATCCCTAGAGGGGAGGTCTGGCTTCCTCTGGCTATCCTGAGTTGGGGAGGTGCCTCTTCAAGATTAGATTCCTGCAGAATCGCTCTCCTTTTGCTGAATCTTGTTGATGGTGTCCCTGTGCAGCTCCCAGGTGGCTCCCATGGCCAGGGAAGCAGCTGTAGCCATGGCTCTGGGAGCGCAGGGAGTGCAGCTCCAGCAGCAGGGCAGGGTGCGTGGTGCATGATTCTGGTGGAATGGGCACACGTTGGCTCTGGCAGGGTGGAGGCCCGGCAGGCGGCTCTGGCTGGGCAGGGTGTGTGGTGTGCAGAGGCTCCAGCAGGGCAGGGGTATGGCTGGCAGCTCCGGCAGGGAGGGCATATGGCAAGCAGCTCTGGCAGGGCCGCAGGAGGTTCTCGAGCCACTGGCAGGTCTGGTAGGGTGGAACGTGCTGCTTGCAAGTCTCCCCCCACAGCTGGTTTACACTTTCTCAGAGCCAAGCCTGACAGCCTCACCCTCCCCCCCACTTTGTCTACACTACTGCTGGGCTCACTGTTATAGTGCATCTTTTCTATCTCAGCCTTTGCAGTGCTTAGACTTGGCAATGAACTGCAGACATTCTGGTCTCTGCAGGTGTTAAGCTTCTGGACTGTCAGGTGAGAGGGAAAAGGTGGACTGGAAGTTCAAAATGGCAGGGAAAACGTTAGTTCAACTTTCATGCCTGGCAAGAGAGTGCTCAGGGTAACAGCAGGGTTCCTCTGGAGAAGTAGTCCCCACTTACTATAACTCTCTCCCATGGGGTGAGACAAGAGGCCCTCAGTTCATCGCTCACCTATAGAAAACCTACAGCGAGCAAAGGAAAAAAAAAACTCTCTTGGCGGACGGGACAGACACTTTTCCTTTGGGATGAGTTTTGTACCTGAAGTTTGCTTTCTTGGAGTCACAGCTCGCCTCAGCAGAGGTGACGTGCAGTTATGACTCCTCTCTCAGCTTGGCTCCCAGTCTTCAGCTTCATTGGGTAGTTTCTGGTCATTATCCTTCCCTCTGGATGAGAGCTTCTGTCAAAAGCTGGCTCCAGTTGGCCATCTTGCCCCTCCTCCCAAAAGCACATTTAAATTAAATTGTTCTAAGCAGTTGAAAAATGCTTTAAAAAAAAATCTTACACAGAGATAGAAAACAAAAAACAAGTCTCTTTTCTCTATGTCACTCCTACTGTGTCATTAATGGTAGCCATGATTATTTTTTATTATATATATTTTTCAGAACTTTTATTTATTTTATTATTTTATTTTATATTTTTTAATTTTTTATTTGCTCATATATATTTTTTAAGACAGAGTTTCATTGCTGCCTTGGGTACAGTGCCATGGCATCATAGCTGACACCAACCTCAAACTCTTGGCCCTGAGCAATCCTCTTGCCTCAGCCTCCCTATTAGCTGGGAGTACAGGTGCCTATCAATAGTGCCCAGTTAGTTTTTCTATTTTAAGTAGAGATGGGGTCTCACTCTTGGTCAGGCTAGTCTGGAACTCTTGAGTTCAAGCAATCTATCCACCTCAGCCTCCCAGAGTGCTAAGATTATGGATGTGAGGCACTGGGTCCAACCTGTTTTTTTGACAGAGGCTCACTCTTTTGCCCTGGGTAGAGTGTCATGGCTTCATCATAGCTCACACCAACCTCAGACTCAGGCTCAAGTGATCCTCTTGCATTTGCCTCCCCCGTTTATTGGTGCCTGCTTCCATGCCAAGCTTTTTTTTTTTTTTTTTTTTTAAAGTAGAGAAAGGGTCTCATTCTTACCCAGGTTGGTCTCAAACTCCTAAGCCCAAGAGATCCACCTGCATCAGCCTCCCAGAGTGCCAGGATTACAGGCATGAGCCACCACGCCCGTAACCTAGCTATCTCATATGGATATGCATACCTTTGTAGTGAGACCTTTGGTTATTTGTAGTTTCTTTCTTTCTTTTTTTTTTTTTTCATTTCTGTAAGGAATGGAAAGAGGAATGATTTGTGATTTAAAACTTGGTTAGTGTCTTCAGTTGTTTCCTCTAGATAAATTTTGACAGTGGACTTGTGGGCCACAGGATATGGAAGTTTTTAGGGGCCTAGGTCAGTGTGTGCAGCCACAAGGCTTTCTAATGTACCATCTCTCCTCTCAGCTACCCATAGGTAAATGATGGCTACCATAGCAACAGAGTGACACCAACCTCAGCTCAGTGAGTTCCTGAACCAGGGAGGCTTTAGGCCCTTGGATTCTAAAGTTCTTTCAAGTCGCAAGGCAGGTTCCTCCTTCTTGGTTTGAAGGAGTCTTCATGGTGCCTTCTTCAAAACTTCTGCTGCCTGGCGCCAGGTGGAGCCAGGTTTAATTGCTTAGCTCCATACACCTGTAAAGAACTCATCATGGGTTATTCTCCCTCTGAACTGCCATGCGTGGGAGGAGAGGCACCCCTTGGGTTGGCAGAGCAGGTCCTGTGTTTCGTGTCAAGGATAACAGAACACACAAATTTTCCTTCTTGATAATTGCCATATTATTGTCATGGTACATTGTCAGTTATTGAGATCTTTCTATATGCCAGGCTCTTTTCTGTACTATATAGATATTAACATGTTTTATCTTCTGGTTTCCCCATTTTACAGATGACAGCAGTGCAACACACAGAAGTGACTTGCTCATGGCCACACAGTTAGGAAGAGCAGGGATGGGATTTGATCCTGAGCAGCATGGACTCATAGCCCAGGCTTCATAACCCCTGCATTCTCTTGCGCCCAAAGCCAGAAGTCCCTGTTTCTTTAAAGAGAGCCTTCTAGAGTCTTCCAACCCTCTCTGCAGCCAGAACTTCTGGAAGTCTTGCCTTCTTTGTTCACCTTTTGGCTGGCTTTTCTTCTGTTTGCTGAGGGTTTGTAGCAGAAAAGCTTTTGAAGTTGGACAGTGCTACTTCCTAAGTAAGCTTGGGCAAGTTATGCAACCTCCCCAAGCCTCAGTGTCCACATCTGTAAAGTAGAGAAAATCCTGCTAACCCTGAGGGTCACTATGAAGGTTCTGGATTATGTGAAAGCTCTGAGAGGTAAAAGGTGTGAGATCAGCAGTCTGTCTCTTTCTGCCCACACCCTTCTCTGTTCCACTTGATTTCTCTTAGTCTAGATCTTCATAGTTATAATTCCAGCCCATTCAGTTTCTATCAGATCAAAAAAGGAAGCTCATTCCCTGGGTATGAGAATAACATCAACATTTATTGAGCGTCCACCACTGCTGGGCATTTTGCTGTCTGCTTCACATAATAATTGCAAATCCTTGCAACAATCTGAGAATAGATTTTTTTATCTGAGGGGAAGCAGAGGGTGGGAGGGTGGGGGGCTCGCTAGATGTCTGCTGGCCCTCATTCTCACCTCCATGGGGTGCAGTGCTCCTAAGCTATACGGGGGGCGAGGGCATCATGTATGCCATTAATTTCTCTCTCCTAATCATTGTCTCTTATAGCCCTTCTGAGTCCAAATGCTCAGCCACATTCTGCCACCTAAAACTGTTCATACATTATGAGGAGAAAAAACAGAGCCCTTCCGGGGGTAGACATTGGCCTTTTGTGTTTATGTACTGGGCGTGCTTGTGTACACGATGTTCATCACAAGGACAAAAAATGTTTTTTCCATTTTGCATTTGATATGTGGTGTCTGAGATCCTAATTAGGCCTTTATAGCTCCCAAATTACATGCTTTTACATGCCTGTGATTATCTCAATAGGATTAACAGTCCTTTTTCCGTAAAGATAATTGAGATCTCTCACGGAGGCATATTTTTATTACCGCAACATAGTCTCGAGCCATCCCTCCACAAAGTCTCTTATTGTTTTCTAGTAACTGCTTTTCCACCCTTATCAGGAAATGTTCAGGGATCATCATGAGGCTTCTTCCTGGATTATGCAAACCCGGGTAACTGTTATGTATTTTCTCTCCCCTCTACTCCTGATGGCAGGTGCCTGGAGATTTGAGCCAAACATCTGAAGACCAGAGTTTGTCAGATTTTGAAATGTAAGTCCATGGTGTTCACTCATGAGGGGTCCTTTAGAAGTAGGACTGTGCTATTGGCTTGTGTCCAGGAAGACCACAGAGGGATACAGATGTCATTGTTCGTATCTGCATTGTGAGCATGGGGGTTGGTCCCCGCAGCCCACCTCTGGCCTGCAGACATGTTTTCTAGCCCCTGCCTTTTTTTGTCTAACATTTGAAAGTTGAAAGATACTATGTAAAAATTTAATTTTTTTCCTTTTTTTTTATAATTAGATACCAGACCACTGTAAGGCCACAGTCCATTAGAGCTGAGTAGTAGCCACCCATTCACACAAGGCATGTGCTCCTCAGGTTACTGCAGTCCCCACTTGTCTCCAGTGCCCAACTCTGGCGCATTCTGTGTGACCCCTGGGTTATTAGAAACAGCAATAGTCAGTGCATTGGCCTGATGTTTGATTGGATTAGGTTATTAGATTCTATTGGTGCCTTTGCTGATAACCCTAAAGGAAGTTAGTTGGTCAACTGATTCTTTTCATTCTGGTTGCCTTAGTTTTTGGCCAAACAGTCCCCTTAGACTGGTAAAGAAAGTGGGGTGAGTCCGGGGTTAAAGGCCAGGCAGAACCTCCCTCTCTCATACAGTGTGGTGAGTGGAAGCAGGCTCAGCCTCTCTGAGAGAAAGGCTCACCTGGGAGAAGCCACTCCCAGAGAAGAAGGGAAGGCACTGGGGAGAGTGTTTTAGAGCTGGGCCCACTTGTGTGGAAACTTTAGGCACTAGGCAGGCTCCCTGACATCACTGATCCTGAGTTTCCTCATTCATGGGCTTGTGGGCAGGGCAGTACAGTGTGCAGCAGCTGCTAGGATGGCAGCCTGGTAGAGAGCAATAGTGAGGAGAATCTGGGAAGAGAAGTGAGAACTGTGGAAGGGAACCTCAGAGGCAAGTGAGGTGGGAGGGACTCACCGTTAAACCAAGAATTTACCAAGCACCTGCTATGAGCAAGGAACCTGCCAGGTCTTCAGTGGAGATGGTGAATAAGCCACCTTCAAGCAGCCTTTGCATGGTCTAGGACACATCCTTTCTTCCCAGAGATTTGGATCTTTCTCCTGCCAGTTTGCTCATCTACACTAAAGTCAGAGGGAAGCAATGGCACCATTGCCCTCTCTCAAGATGGACTCTGAAAGAATGCCCTCTGGAGCATTACAAAGAATGCCCTCACTGACCTCTCCTTTCCCTGCACGCCAGCCACCATGACCATTTCCACTCCTCTAACTGCTTGGTCTTCCCCGTTCAGGATTTTTTCTTTATTTATCCAGCTCACACATACATACCATTCCCTCTGTAGTAGGCATTCTTCTGACTCACTCATTCTTTATATCAGCCATGTCAGAGATGACAGATTCAAGCCAGGATTCAGACCATGCAGTGCTGATCTGGACTCTGTGCTCTTCACAAATGTTAGTTCCCCTACCTGAAACACTTTCCCCATCCACAACCTCTTCTCCCTAACATGCCCAACTTTTGATATTCCCTAAAGCCTGGTTCAAATACTTCTTCCTCAAAGAAGCCTAGACCAAGGCAGGCCTGCCTGGCATTTACTTTCCTTAGATCTAGTGTTCCTTGGTGGCACTTAAAACAGTGTTACTCAAATGATTTCTATAAAACAACTCTAAGCTTATATGCACCTAACAACAGAGCCCTAAAACAGATTATGTAAAAATTGACAGAAATAAGAGAAATAAATAATTCTACAATAATAGTTGGAGACTTCACCTCAGTTTCAATAATGAATAGAATAACTAGATCAATGAGGAAATAGAATACAATAAACCAACTAGAAGTAACAGACATATATAGAACATTCCACCAAATAGCAGAATATACATTCTTAAGTGAACATGAAACACTCTCCAGTATAGATCATTTGTTAGGCCACAGAACAAGTCTCAATAAATTTTTAAAAACTGAAATCATACAAAGTATCTTTTATGACCACAATGAAATAATTTTTATAAAGCTGTATCTCTCTCCTGTTAAACTTCATGTTCCACGAAGAAAGAGGCTATGTCTACTTATTGTCCTATCTCTACTACCTAGAATAGTGGGTGGTTTGTAGTAGGTTCTCAACAAATACTGGTTTAATGAACAAACAAAAGAATGAAAAAATGAGCAAGGATTTGGGAAGTAAAGGGTCATGTGAACAATCATTTTTTTTTAAATGTTATTTTTGCAGAGAGGTTCTCATTCTCTTTCCCAGATTGGAGCACAGTGATGCCTTGAACTCATTCAACCTTGAACTTCTAGGCTCAATGATCCTCCTGTCTCAGCCTCTCAAATAGCTAGGACTACAGGTGCATATCACCATGCCCAGCTAATTTCTAAGAAATTTTTTGGATATTTTTATGTTGCCCAGGCTGGTATCGAATTCTTGTCCTCAAATGATCCTCCCATCTCAGCCTGCCAAAATTCTGGAATTACAGGCGTGAACCACTGCACCTAGCCATAAACAATCAATTTTGGTAAATGTTCAGTGTGGTAAATATACTAAAGGGAGAAATGCCTAACTCAGTCTCAGGTCAACTCACTATAGCCCTGGGAGGTTGTCTCGTCCTCACCAATCCAGGAAAGTTAGTAAAAAGAATGTTAATTATACTTGTGTCCTCCCTGTCCCCTGTTGACAGAGGAATGAAAGGGGTGTGCTGTTGGCACTAGTATAGTGCCAGGGACCTTTATAGGAATAATGTCATTGAACATATAAGCCAGTTCAGTGGCTCAGAATTGCAATTTGTCCTTTGCTCTCTGGGGAAGTGACTAATAGGGCTTGTGTTACCCCTTGAATGAGGTCACCATCTTGGCTGAGGACTTAGAAGAAATGCTGCTTCTGGGGAGAACCAGTACCTCAGGTTATTTGCCTTATGAAGAGAAAATGTTCTTTACTCTAGAGCTGTGTTTTTTACCTTTTTTAATCTCACAGTACACTTGAACCTATAGTTAACTACTGTGGCACACTTAAATTATTTTGACCAAAAAATGAACAACAAAAAAAGATATACTTACTATGCTTTTAACTTCTTTCAAAAATACTTTAATTAATGATGTTTAAAAATTTTTGTGACACATCTAAGATTCTCTCACTGGTTGAAAATCACTGCTCTAGAGGTTGTGAGAACATTGAATCATGGAATCTTCCATCATCAGCATCTTAAATTGTGTCCCAAGCACAGGAAGCTGGCTAATTTTTATGAGCTGCTCTTAGAAGAAGGGCTGAGGAAAAAGCATTTAGCTCTGGAGCAGCTCTTCCATAGAGGCAAAGTCTGGGACCTTCCAGAATTGCACAGAACTACTGTGATAACTATTATGGTTGATCTTGTTATTTCAGCAGCAATCAGCTTATTAGCTCTGTGTGATTTGAATCCAGCCAGGTGGCAATGTGATGGGGGGTGTGTGTGTATGTGTGTACCTGGTGCCTCAGAGTTAAGTTTAAAGTCATCACAATCACATAAGGCAAAGCAGTCATAGAACCAAAATAACCCTTAAAATTACTTTAAATAGTCCATGTAAGAATTAAATGAGTTAATACAGATAAAACCATGGAGCTCATACATTGTAGATACTCATGAAATTATGTTGTATTTGAATTTAAGACACTAAATACCTATCACTGTCATAGCCGTGGGTATTGATCTCCGTAGCTCTTTTGTGGAGTCTGATTTTAAAATGATGTCAGGGTCTAAAGTCAGCATAGTGGCCAGGTGTGGTGGCTCACACCTGTAATCTCAGCACTCTGGGGTGGGTGGATTGCCTGAGTTCAGGAATTTAAGACCAGTCTGAGCGAGACTGAGACCTCATCTCTAAGAATAGCCAGGCACTGTGGTGTGCACCTGTAGTTCCAGCTACTTGGGAGGCTGAGGCAAGAGGATCACTGGAGCCCAGGAGTTTGAGGTTGCTGTGAGCTATGACACCCTGGAACTCTACCCAGGGTGACAAAGTGAGACTCAGTTTCAAAAATGAATGAACAAAGTCAGTAGAGTGAGGAGGTAGTGTGTCTCTTCTGGGTGCCCTAGAAATTCTTTAGCATCATTTCACATGACCTCCGATAATAGCTTTCTTTGGGCTTCCAGTTTTCATCTTCTTAGATGTGGAAACTGAGGTTCCGATAAATTATAGGCCAATGTCAGTCAGTAGGAACTGAAGGGCAGCTTTTTCTCATCCAGAGTTCAAATTGCATATGCACATATGTGTGTGTCTGTTTATAGATAGGTATAAATAGACAAATGTGTGAGTTTATATGGGCTGAATGATAAGACTTAAGTGTGTCCTTTAGCTTTCTCTCAGCTATGATGTATGTTGTTATAAATTGCTTGTGCATAGTGCCTCTTAGAGGAGAGAACTGTTTCTTGTTCTTGGTTTTTGTTAAGTTAAAGTGACTGACTGTGATCATCTCTTTCATTTGGTCAGATCAAACCGGGCGCTCATCAATGTCTGGATCCCCTCAGTGTTTCTCCGGGGTAAAGCAGCGAATGCATTCCACGTGTACCAGGTAAGTGCCTGGTCTTCAGGTGGGCACCACAGCTGGGTGGAAGGACACCCAGTCATATGCATGGTGCTTTGTCTCTTGCTGGTGGAGCATGGTAGTTATGAGGCCATGGCCCACCAAAGGCCAATTGCTCCCCAGATGCCCTAGAACAGGTGTCCTCAAACTACGGCCCATGGACCACATGCAGCCCACCTAGAACATTTATCTGGCCCACAGGGTGTTTTTGCCACCGCTTCCTGTCCTGCTTAGCAGCCGACTCGTCCCAAGGCCCACAGGCTGGCCCTCCAACAGTCTGAGTGACAGTGAACTGGCCCCCTGTTTAAAAAGTTTGAGGACCCCTGCCCTAGAAACATAGTCTGTGGTCTTCATTCAGACAGACAGGAGCAATTGGGTAGAGCTTCCTCATGCCAGTTGGGCCTATCAGTGTGACTGCTGCAGGATCTTAGCTCCCACTGCTTGAGTATAAATGAGGATTTATTGGCTTGTGCTGCAAATGCAAAGTCCAGAGGGAGGTCAGACCTCAGGCACAACTATAGCTGTGGTTAGGAGTGTGCTGCTGTCCCGTTTCCACCTTTTGGTCAGCTCTCTGTGGGTTGATGGGATGGGTCCTGGCAGCACCAAGCTGTCAGCCTATCTGGGTGGTTTCAGCAGAGTCCCTGGCCGTGTCTCACTGGTCAGCCTTGGACTGGGTGATGGGCTTCTGAGACTAGTCCAGTTTGACTCAGGACCACTGCTAGGGTGAGAGTGACCTCACCCAACTCCAGTTCTTAGAGTGAAGAGAGGAAGGTCCCCAAGTGAAAAACACATGACTCTTCCCTAAAGAAAGAATAATGGATACATGATAAGCAAAGACCGCAGATGCCTCCTTGGTGTGCTTGGGTCAGAGATGGCCACCCCCAGCTGGGGGCTAGCATCTAAGACTGCAGGACCTTTGTCAGCTTTGGGGGTGACTTTGCCCAGCCAATGAGACCTCAGTTTCCCCTCTTCTTTCTGGTTGTTTGGCGTCTCCTTCAACTCTGCATTCTTATCCCCTTTTTTCCCCTTCTTTCTCTTTCTCTCTTGTGCCATGGACTCTGATTTCCAGGCTTTCATGTTCACTTGTTCTGGAACTGCTTTGTGTTCACCACCTACCCATAGCTATTCCCTGTGTCTCCTGTCCTCGTATGTCAAAATAATTGTCATTAGGTTTTGATTTTTTTCCCATGAGCTCTGTAGAGACTCTTGGGTTTGTTACCACTATTCTGAGTGGGAAATTAACCCATTTAGGAAGACTTCTTGGTTATTGAGATATTTTCCCCAGAGAGTTGGATGGTTT